GGCCTCCCAGTTAGCTCAATGGATAGAGCGCTGGACTGTTGTGCGGGAGGTCGAGGGTTCGAGCCCCGGCCGGACCAACACTCAAGGTCTTAAAACAAGTGAGAAGAATATGCTACCTTTCTATATCAAGAAATGGTTAGATACTCTAGTCTTCTCGGATAGGGACGAAGAAATGGAGGTCCCATCTCCTACAGGGTTAGGGGTAGGAGACGTTAATTTCCCATGCACGAGATTACTGTGTGATGGATGTCCTCCCCTGGGGTGGTTACTGGGTGGGAATTGGCCCTGAAAAGCCCCCATGGGGAGTGGTCAATTAACATATGTATGTATGTATGTATGTATGTATGTAGGTTCAAATGTTCCTTTCTAGTTCCTCCCTACTGAAAATTAATGCAGTGAAAATGGAGTAAATTAAATCAGTCATCCTTAAACAGGTTAGAGGGTTAAGACATTTCAGTATCAAGGATTCATTTCTCTTCACTTTTGCAGACAGTCCGATATCAAGTACTTATCTCCCTCATGCTGTCAAGTCAAACAAAAGACCAAGTTACTTTTGCTGCAATGGAAAAGTTAAAAGCGTATGGTTTAACAATAGTGAACATTCTCAAAACATCAACTAGCAAACTTGGTGAACTTATCTACCCTGTTGGCTTCTGGAAGGTGAGTGAATATGTAATGTTAAAAAAAAAAAAAAAACTTGATTTTACTGACTGAATTTACTCACTAGAAAAGCAACTTTCAGAATACATGTAGTCTGGAGTGTCCTCTGTCTCCCTTTTAGATGAAAGTTTTAGACTTGTTTTGAAAACAAGAAATTGCAATTCATAATAATTTATTAATTGACAGTCACACAAAACAAAGCTTTAAGAGGGGAGGAGGTCTTACATCAGCATTTTACTGAAACAAAGAGGTTATGCCAAGCTGTTTTTTTTTCTTTTTTCAGATTGACTTCTTTTGTTAACAAAGAGGGGTTCACACACTCCATAAGACCATCTGAGTCCCTCCATCCTTCCTCTTGCCACTCACAGATGTCTAAAATAAGAAGCAAACAAAAAATATCAAAACATACTAAACCAAACTCACTTTTTCACTTTTAAACCTGCTCTATAAAGGTGAGCCATGGCTTGGTAAATCAAAGTTATTCTTGAGGTGACGTCATCACATCATCGATAGACCATCTGTTCATGTATTTATGCATCTGCTTTGATTGTAGAAAAAAGCTGATTACATTAAGAATACCACCAAAATTTGTGCTGAGAATTACAAGGGAGACATTCCACCCACAGTAGAAGAGTTGGTCAAACTTCCAGGTGTGGGCCCAAAAATGGCACATATTACCATGAATGTGGCCTGGGGACAAGTGACCGGAATTGGGGTTGATACTCATGTTCATAGAATTTCTAACAGACTGGGATGGGTCAAAAAACCTACTAAAATACCAGAAGAAACTAGAATTGCTGTAGAAAGCTGGCTTCCAAGGTAAAAATTATTTATAAGATACCAAGTAATGCAAATCTTTTATATTTTGCTCCTTGTCCACCGAATACTTATGTCACTGTCACAGGCTCCATGCAGGGGTTTTAGGGAAATGGATATGAAACTGCAAAGGGTGCACACAATTTTTCTCTCAGAGGGAGACATTTTTCTGTTGAAAATGTGAAATATTTTTTTAAACAAATACACAGGTTAAAGAGGTGTACATTTTTGGAAAAAAATTGCTTTTTCGTGGAACAACAATCGCTATTTTACATGTCAATGAAAACAAAAAAATGGCAGACAGCGACAGAGAGCTTCTTTTGACATCAGAAAGAGGAGTGACAAATATACCTTCAGTCAGGGTTTGTACACTTCTCAAGACAAATAGAATTCAAGGTCTTTCAAAGGACTTTCAAGGACTACATTTTAGAATTTCTAGGACCCACTCTCTATGCAAGTTCCAAACAAATTTTCCAAATTTTCTCACAATAAAAGGCTTTTGTTCACTGTAGGTTCAGTCACTTGACTTAAGTAACAATCGCCTAAAGAGCTTGGATGGTTTTAAGGACCTTGCAAAGGAAACATCAAACTTAAAGCATATCAAGATCTCCAATAATCAAGTCAGTAGTATTATTTCCAAGGAGTTTGTAACTATTGCATATTCATTGTGTTTGGGTGATCTTGGGGACATGTAGATAATGTGCTTTCTTTGTTATTCCTGGTTCAGCAAAAGAACTTTGCAGAAAGTCACAGAAACTCTGGCTCAATTAAGTCTTTGGTTAGAATTTGTTCAAACGAATTTTATTTTAATTTCCTTTGCTTACTTTTACATGTTTATCCTTGCGTGAAACAATTGGAATTCTGAATCCAATTGGCTTGAAAAATTTGAAGCCAAGAAAAGAAAAGTCTCGTAAGATACATCAAAAAGAAAAAATTTCAGAACCATGTTTCTGTGGTCGAAGAAAATTTATATCTTAACAACTCTCCATCATTTAATAGTTAATAGTGTTTTAGAAGCTTTTTAAAGATTGAATCTACCTGTATGAGAAGCATCGCACTAAAAAATAAATTGCCATTTTTGAGAACTGTTTCTCATCCTCTAGCATGAGCGTGTTGAATCCAGTTGACTAATCTAATGTGAAGTTGTATAACTGCACAGAAGAGTGGAAAGTGCCACATGTTACATTGTAGAAGTAGGATTTATTCACAGATTTTAAATTATTGCAGTTAAGAGCTGTAGAAGAACTGGACAAGATAAAGTCCTTGAGTCAGCTCCAAACCATTGCACTTGATGGCAATCCTCTTTGCGATATATTTCAAGACAAACAAAGTTCATATACCAGGTGTGTCTTGCCTGTCCATCGCGTTACGTTTACATGTAACTACAAATGGCAGTAAGTTTTTCCTACTCTATTATAAATCTAAAAAAAAAAGGATCTTATGATTTCCACACATACACAAATGTGCAACCCTCACATGGTAAGTGCTCTAAGGTGCTAACATTTCAGTTTCAGGGCAAGAAGAAAAAAACATTGCCAATCCGATTTCTAGAGAAAGTTGCCAAATTGTTGAAGTGGTTAGGTTGTGGTATTGGGATACTAGGGGAAACACCTCACTTTCCAATAACATACATTTAAATGGGCACCAGCAAATTGTTAGGGAAGCCTTATTAAATGCTGGGAGGTAAACTCATCTAGGTGGAGAGGTAAATAAATTCTCTTAGTCACTCTATGCTAACAAAACCAGGATCCATGGTATCACTCCACAAATAGCTTTGAATGGCAGGTTAATATCAGTCTAATGTTATTTTTGCTGTATTGTATTCAGTGCTATCAGAAGCAGGTTTCCTAAAGTAACCAGTCTGGTAAGAGAAATGTTTTTTTCTTTTTTTTTTTTTTCCAACTCATTGTATGTTCAATCTATTACAGACTTTCTTCTAGTTTCATTGTAGTTAAATCAACATGGCTGTGGAATTTTAGTGTGTTTTAATATTGACCTGAGAAAAAAAATGTCAAAGTATCTTCAGTTGCTACTTAATAAGACGATTGAGCAATTTTTTGCTTGTTACAATAATACCANTAAATTACACCTGATGAAATGTTTGGCAAGTCAACTTCACATTTTTTCTTTAGATGTTTCAAATTTTACAACATTGTACAACATTACCATTCTAAAAATTAAAACGAGGGTACCAACATTCTTAAAACAGAATGGCCATTTATGGTTAACCTGTTGTTAACCTTGTTTAATCTTATTAATCCTTTTGCTCCAAATATCTCACTAGCAATTCTCCTTACTGTCTGTCATACAATTCCTATGATGTTAGTTTGGAGAATTTGGTATTGGATCAACTGATAATCCCTTGATTATATATTTTCCTAATTCTCATCACTTGTCTGCTTGAGATTGTATTGATATTGTAAGGAGAAATTCTGTCTTGGTCACTCATGGGAGTTAGATAATTAACACCCATTACTCTCACACCAACAAAATAAAATGTAATCCAGGAATTAAATGACAATACTTATCTTTAACCTATACACATGTGCACTGCCCACCAATTCTTTTCTAATCATCCAATTTAATGCAGTTAACCCTCACTAAATATCTGCAGTAATCTCATAACTACCTCCTTAAATAAGGAAATCCCCCATTGTTAATTTAACATTTGTGTTCTAAGCCCATTGGAGTTTTTGTGTCATGTTAAAGAGCCGTACCTTTCTGGAAATCTTTTCTAAGAAACAAGAAGCTTTTGAAAACTGCCTTGTGATCAACCACAGCTACTAACTGTAGCTCTATTTTAAGCCTGAAACTCCCTTGATCTGATTCATGATTCTCCCTTATGACTGCCATTCACCTCCTCTTGAATGAGTTGGAAGAATTTGGTGTTAAACTAAAATAGCACCTAATAGCTCTTGTCAACACCTATTTGCTAAACAGGGTATTCATAGAGCAAGAAAAAGTCACCTGTTTATCTTACTTATGAGTTCCATTTTGTAAGGGTTGTAGCTGATAGGTACCCAAGAAAAACTACAAATTAGTGAAGCTTTGTCAAAGCCATATTAGCTATTAACTGTCTTTGTCTTTCAGTCTGATGCTGTTCCTAATTAAACCTACTTAATACCATTGAATCATAATAAAATCAACATGTCCTCTGGTACACAATACAGTGTAATATGGTTCTTTTAATGCCCATTTCCATTGTAATTCCACTGTAGCATGGATTTCCAATGATTTCCTTCCTGTCCTTTGAAAAGAAAAGAAGACTTTTAATTTAACATTCTAGAACTTATTTGGAATGTATCTTGTCCCAAACAAAGTAAATCCAATTTCATTCCATGATGGTGCCTCAAACAGAACTCCTCTCTCTTTTGGAGTGGCAAATTCCTGGCATTCATTCCTTGCCATCTTTTGAATTTCCTGCAAAGGAAGGAGCTTAATTCCGAATGCTTTTGCCACCTTCCTTAAGGTATGACTCTTGCCAACCACAATTCCAACATCTGCTTTCAACATAGCCAGTATATCTCCAATAGAATCACCCACAAAAACTGAGATGCCATTCGAACTGTTAGTAGATAGCTTGTGAACCAAATCCTGAAATATTGTTTCCTTGTCAAAAGGACTTGTCACTTTCTTTCCTACATGGCCTGATGATAATTCGCCTTCAAGGGGGAAACTGTTTGCAAAAATGTTCAAATGTCTAAGGTGATCTAAATTGACCTGGATCAACTCCTGACACCAGTTGACTGATATTAAATGCAGTGGCAAGTTGATGTGATTGAGAACATTCAGTCATCCAGGACTGAACTTCACTTCCTTGGCAATTTCTTTGATGCCTTCCTTAGATATACCTTTGAGGATTTCACTTGCTTCAACCTTCTTAATCATTGCCATGTCATATTTGCTCACCTCTTGAAGAAATGATCTCAAACCTTTTTCATTAAAATGTGGCAATGAATTGGGATCTGTGTGAAGAGCCATTGACTTGGAGACTGTTTCTTGGTGACCTTGCCAGTAAATTGTTCCAATTTCTATCCAGCGCTCATCAATGGTTTTCATTTCGGCTTGAGTAGATGATCGATACTTTTCCGATGCCTTATAAAGGAGGCTTGTTGTATCCTTCTGAGTACAAGTGCCATCGAAATCAAAAGCAAACAGATTGAATTTCAAACCCATCCAATCTGGTTCACAAGTCATTGATGGTGATGATGCCAGACCAGTGTCCATAACTGCTGCCATGATGACTGAATCAGAAGAAAAAGATTGAAAGTTTTAGCAGCACAGGTTTAACTCATTTAGACAGTGTAATTAACAGGCCCATAAGGATAGGATAAAATTTAGGAACTTTTATTAAGTGTATGACTTTTCAAAAGTGAAATTTGGCTCAAGTAAGAAAATCTGTTGCAAAAAAGGATTTGTCCTGTCTCGCCAGTGCCTCTAAGGAATATCAAATTACCATGAAAATTAATTACGTGTAAATAAACTGCAAAGCAGATATTCAAATCTTATCTGTATCATTCTCCTTCAATAATTGCACTGTGCATCTGTGAAAAGGTGGAAAAGGCTAACAACTGACCAGCAAAGAGGCATTGTTATGGGCCCACTACAAGGCTCATTTCCACTGTTACGTAAGTTATGTAAGCACGAGCTGAAAAGCGTGCAGATGAATAGCTAAGGATGTACAGAGCGTCTAGACTGCATGGGGTGAACCTTTATAATAACAAAAACACTTGGCATTAAAACAAAATTTGACATCCAGTCTTATTGTGAGGTAGAACCCAGCCTGAATGGCAATATCCTTGTAAAGGCATAGACCGGTTTTGGACTTGAAAATCTCTGGTGGATTGTCAAAGATAGAAAACAACTAATTGACAATTATAAATACTGACTGCAATTACATTAACAATTGTTGCCTACGTGACTTCTTGCTTAAATATGTAAAACATCAGCATGTAATAAGAATGTGGGATGACGAGTTTTCCGGGTAATTTGTGAATGAAAGACATTCAAGATCAGAGGTGGACAGAATCTTCCTGCGTAAACTCGTGCTTGCGTTTGTTACCGCCAGTTCTTGATTAATTGTGTAATTATAACGTAGTCGCCCAGTCAAGCAATTAGTCTGCAAGGTTCGTCCCTTAATTAGAAAGTTTCTTATTTAATATTTTTACAAAGATCTCCACTTCAAAAGCCTTTAAGCGTTTTTTCTTGGCATGCAGAGGGAAAACGGAACAGTAAAAAAATCTTAACGCCATAGCGTCCCAAGTCAACCAATTACGTAATCAAATCATTGTTGAAGATGTAATAAACAAGTTCACCTACCAACAACAGAGAAACTTACTCTGGCGATTAGACCAAAACGTCCTAATCCATTTAATATGCAAAACGGAGACAATTTTGCTTTGAATTTGTTTCTTACGAGCATAAACCCCAACCACTAGTTCGAAAAAAGCTTCTACTGTAGAAAAATCTCTTTGCGTGTTTATCTACCTCGCTATGAAGTAAAACTTTTTTACACAACGTCGTTTATTTAAAACAAAAAACCGCATCCCATACGTCTTATAGGAGTAGGTTTCAAAATGGCCGCTCAAATGGCTACTAGTGCGATGGAGAAAGTTTCAGAGAAAGTTTCCTTCGCAAAAAAGGTACGAATCTCCAATCAAGATAAATTAAGCTAATATTTACTTACTATTTAAACCATTTGTTGTTTCAATATTGCTATTTTTGTGGTTTGAGCTCTCTATGATGAGATTGAAACTATCGGAATTTTCCTCACATCACCATTTTTTCCATGAACAGATCCCATTGCTGATGAAGGCCACTTCAGACGATGATAATCCAACTTCTGGTTACATGTATCAGGAAATAACTAGTATCCTGTGAACCTAATTAGCTAAAAATATATATGTTTTATGAAACTACTTGTTCGACAATGTCATGCATCTGTACTGTTCGAGTTATTTTTAAGAGAACTTTGATTTGTCAGTTTATATCTGTTTGCCTACGTTGCATTTCCCTTGTTACTCAACTGTATTTATGACGGGAAACCAGTGGTTGCATGGTACATGGAGAAATGTAAGAAATGTACTCTGGATTAAATGCTGCCCTGTGATCAGAACTGCTTGGGATATATAGACGTGGGGGCCCTACAGTTAGCAAACTGCACTCCAGGGTGTAAGGCAAAGGTGTGCTCCCTTAGCCAGGTCAATGTGTTGTGCCTCACGCTACCCAAGAATGTAAACGGGTACCAAGGAATTTTCAGGGAAGCCTGATGAATGCAAGAAGGGAGGAGGCACAGGGGAAAATTTGTGTTGGACTAGCATTCTGGGCTGGGCAGTTTAAAACATGATAAACCTGACTCAGGGTTAGTAAGTCTTTCATTCATTTCAATAGCTTTGCAAAGGAATTTTTGTTTTGTGTTCTTTTCCTGCTAGTTTTGAGTCATATTGAGATAAACCCCAACAAAACCTTAGCTCCTATACATGCTCTCCTACCTGAGAAATCAAGCCAACGTTAACTTTTAATCCTAGATTAACATTAACCTCCCTTCCCCCACCAGTAGAGGGGGAGTAGATATAATCCAAGTCACTTTGTGTAAGAGAAACTGGGATGAGCCTTGACAGTGTGGGATACTTAGCTTGAGTGCTGAGGTAAACTTTGTAGATCTACCAAAATTTTTATATTGTTTTTGAGTGAAAGTGGCTCCATGGGTTATTGTAAAATTATGAACAATTGTGTACTTAAAAGCACAGCTACCTGTGCAGTGCAAGGTGTACTATGAAGATTATGTTATTGAACAATTCAAACAAGTTTCTTTCAAAATGTCATCCCTCTTTAAAAACCTGTTTATCAGAATGCAAAATATATATCTGTTTGATTCATTCCAGACAATTGCAATTAAACTCTTGTCAACTAAATTAAATATGTGATAAGATAATTTAGATACTTCCTATCACAATTTTCTAATTATTTAATCACTTTCACCAGAGTGTGGTGAGGGTCGCACAACAGAGCGAGGCTCCAAATTAAGTGCACCCAATATCCCACCCATCCCACCCCAGGGGAGGACATCCATCACACAGTAATCTCGTGTGTGGGAAATTAACGTCTCCTACCCCAACCCTGCAGGAGACGGGACCTCCATTTATTCGTTCCTATCCGAGAAGACTAGAATATCTAACCATTTCTTGATGTTATAGAAAGGTAGCAAATTCTTCTCAATTATTTTAAGACCTTGAGTGTTGGTCCGGCCGG